GCTCAGGTGCGCGCGCAGGCGCGAGTCCAGCTGGAAGGGCAGCGCCACGAGCTTGCCGTCCACCTGCGGGCGTGTGGAGTGGGTGGAGGCAGTGACCGGCCAGGACTCAGATTGGAATCCTGTCTCCTACCTCCTGGGTGTGTGAGTGGGAGGGAGCAGGAAGGGGCGTGGGCACCCTGAGCATGTGACCTCCCTCCTTTTAATAATAGTAATAATCTTTAGTCACGATGTCACTGGCTCCTCATACCACCCTCTGAAGCAGATACTTTTCTTAGAGGAATAAGCAAAAGCTCAGAGGTGGGGAAGCCACCGCTCCAAGCCATCTGGCTCCAAGGCCTATACTCTGAACCTGTGCTTGGTAATCAGGGATTGGCAGGCCACTAACTCCCAGGCAACTTCAGGCTTGGCATGTGCTCCTGTCTGATCCACAGACCCCTTACCTGCAGCTGTCGGGGCCAGCGGGCGCTGAGGGTCAGGTTGTGGTTGTAGATGTGCAGGGTGACGCTGCGGGTGTAGCTGACGGCCTGGCTGCCCCGGTGCTCGTTGGCAACAGTGACGGTGAAGTTCTCAACACCAGCGGGTGGTGCATGGCAGGGTGCACTCAACAGGTACTCACAGGTACCTTGGAAGTCGAATCGGTGCCCGTCCAGAGTGATGTAATGGGGGTCACCCCAGGCCTGACATTCAGCCGTACTAACGGGACGGCAGCCATACTGGCCTGAGGGCAGCAGGGCACACACTTCACCGAGCCCACACCTGGCAGGCTTGCAGACCAGCGAGCCACCCCCAGGTCCGCAGTGGCACTTCTGGGAGCAGGTGGTACCAGCCCAAAACTCACTGCCTGCCTCGTGGTAAGTGTTGTTGGCCCAGCAGCCGCAGCCCCCATCCAGAGGAACGCAGCGGTCTACGCTCAACACAAAGCCCGCGTCACACTGGCACCCCTCAGCGCAGGGGCCCTCACATGGGGCTGGGATCGTGGGGGGCGCAGGGGACGGGCAGCTGGCAGGGCATGGTGGGCCACAGAGCTCGTAGTGGCTGTTGTTGGGGCAGGAGATCTCTGCAGGTGGATTAAGGAGGGGGAGGAGGAGAAAGAGAGAGAATGGTGTTAGAGGGTGGGATCTGAGGATAGGGTGGGGGGAGACTGAGATAGAGACCCCGAGGGACGGACAGAGAGATAGAGAAACAGAGCAAGAGATACACACACAGAGAACAGACACCCAGAGACAGGAGAGAGAGAATGAGCAATAGAGACAGAGAGACAATCACAGGAAGGTGCAGGAAAAGCACCAAGAGACAAAAACAGAGAACGAAATAAAAAGACCCAGAAGGACTGGAGTGAAACCAAACCAGCCCTGCAGAGACAGGACCCGCACCCCCAAGTCCTGCCCTGTTCACCCCAGCACTCACCACAGCCGGCCTGTGTCCTCCAGTCCTCGATGACAATGCCAGCAGCCTGGCAGGCGGCAGCATAGGTAGCCAGAGCCTGGCAAAGTATGTCATGGGCCCCACCGCCCAGGCAGACATCCAGAACACAGCCCTTGAAGAAGCTCTCAGGTGCCACATGGGCATGGCAGGCTGCAAAGGGGCCTTTTGCGTCAGCGGCCAGGGGTCCACAGAAACCAGGGCCCCGGTACTCCTCCAGCTGGTCCTCAGGGCATGTTGGGCAGGACCCCTGACACTCATCCCAGCACAGTGGGTCCCAGCCTGGGGCTCGCCAGCTTCCACCCCAGACGGGTATGGAATGAGCCAGTGTGCGGTTAGGGAAGGCTTGGTCATTGTTGGGGTTGCGGTCCATGTTCCCACAGAGCCCACACACGGCACCATGATAGCTACTGGGCAGCGTCACCTCCACTCGCCAGTTCCAGTCATAGCTGACCCGCAGCCCGAAGTCGGCTGCCAGGATTGCTTTGGATGCTCCCTGGGTCACTGAAAGCCGCCCACCAGCCACAGAGGTAGGCAACGCTGTCAGCACACCATTCACCTGCGGGGAAGCGGGGATCGGGAGGTAAAGAGAGGTCACTCAGGTGTGGAGGCCCAGCCTGGCCTCTGCCTCCCTCACTTGGCCTGCATGGCTGGAAGCCGCCAAGGCCTTCCTCACAACGGATGGTCGCATAGTCATTTGAGGAACATGGACATCTGCTGTAGTTCAGGTCCTGGGGAATGAAGCCTACCTCTGCATCTTTTTCTAGATCTCTCTTGATTGCCATCTCCCTCCCTTCCTCTCCCTATTGTCTCTGTACATCTAGATCTATCTCTCTTTCTGGGTTTCTCTGAGTGTGTGTGTGTGTGTGTGCACTCTGGGTCTCTATCTGGTCCTCTCTGGGTCTTTTTCTGGGTTTCTCACCCACTTGCTCCCTCCCTCCTGGTTCCCTGGGCACCTCTGTGTGTCTGGGCATCTCTTCCACTCACCATCATTTGTTGAGTACCTACTCTGCTCCACACCTCACTCCCCCCCCCCAGGTGAGCTGCCATTAATCTGCATCTCCATTACCCTGGGCAGAAAGGGTGACCCATCTCTCTCTCTAGTTCCCTGAATGTTGCTCCACATTGGAGTCTCTAGGCCTCTCATTTGTTCCCTCACAAACATTCATGGTGGCTTCGTGGGGTCAGACCCTCAGCTGAGCACTTGATGTGTACCCCCTCACTGTGGGGCAGGGCCTGCGATGATCCCCATTCCTAAGATGAGGAAACTGAGACCCACCAAGTAATCACTTGCCCAGTATCACACAGCTCATACGGAGAGCCTGGATACAAAGCCAGTTATGGAAAAAGGTAAAATGCTGAAGTCCTACATGAAAGCCCTTTGCAAAGGGGTGAGCCCATTGAATTCCCAACAGAGAGCTAATGTTGTTGCTGTAACTGTTGCTTTGCTTCCATTTTGTTTCAGGCCTAAGTGAAGAGAGCACTGAGCTCCTAACGGTGGCCGGCAGGACCCCTCCTGCCCAGCTGGGGGCTCAGGGGACCACCCTGTGGGACTTACCCGGACTTTGCCAACTTCGCCTTTGTGGATGGAGATGTTGATGTTGAGGGCAGTCACAGTGACAAGCCTCACATAGGACACAGCAGGGTTGCCTCGATTCTCATTCTTGGTGGTGATAGTGAAGGGTGTCAAGCCCTGGGAGTTGACCCCTGGGCAGCTGGTTGTTGCCAGCACGTAGTTACAGGTGCCCTGGAAGTCAAAGTCCCAGCCGTCGAAGGAGTGGTAGTGGGGGTCGCCCCACAGCCAGCACGTGGCCTCATAGTTGGGCACGCACACACCATGGCCACCCTTCTCCTGGCACGTCTCCTGTGGCCGACACGTCACACCATGGCACAGTTCTGGGGGCAGGTGAGAGAGGACCTTGAGGGGCTGCCTGGCATGAGGCAGGCTGCTCCCCAACATCTACTCCCATCTGTGCAGGATACTGACTCTGGGGGCCAGGGGCATGCGGCCAGAGGCATGTGGGACACCCACTGAGCAGTGGGTATTTTCCTGCTCGCCAGCTCCAGCCTGCACAACCTCTCGGCCATCCAGTGGGCTACAGTCACACCTTCCAATGAGACCTCCTCTCAGCCTTGGGGTGGGCCCTCTTCCCATTCCCTCCCTCCCTCGGTGCTCTGCTTTAGCCTTAGGGGCAGGGGCCGTATCTGCTGTGTGTTCCTTAGTGTCCATCCTCATTACAAGGAAAGAATTCCTTCTAGCCAACTTTCCCTATTCAAGCTGCTGTGTGGTTTCTGTCTCCTGATTAGATTTTGACCAATATACCCCTCCTCCCTAGGAGTCCCTGTTACCCTGCCCATCAGCCCTGAAGTCTCAGTCTGTTCTGGAGGTTCCATTTCCTTAGCCTCAGAAATAAGGCAATTATTCTCCGCCCGTCACCCTAAGAAACCAGTCCCGGGGGTGGCTCTGTATCTTAGATTTAGTCTGGGAGGTCCCCATGTCTGAGATGGTATCCCTAAAAATCCTGATCCTCCACTCAATGGGGCCCTGTATCCAAGACTCAAGCCTTGGTGTGGTCTTTGCTTGAGACCTCAGGACTGTGTCCCTGTCCCCGTGGCCAGTCTCTCAAACCCCTTGGGGATGGTGTCTGAAGCCCCAAGACTAATCCCACATATCAGTAGTCAGCAAACTGTGGCACCACCAGCTGCCTGTTTTGTAAATAATGTTTTATTAGAGCTACACCTCCAATTAGATAGTCTGTGGCTGGTTTCATGCCATGATGGCAGAGTTGAGTTGTTGTGACTGAAACCGTATGGCCTGCGAGTTTAAATATTTACCAGCTGGACCTTTATTTTATACACTGAGTGACCAAATTATTATGACTGGCCAGATTATTATGACCACCCCATCGGTACAATGAAGTAGTTATGCAAATACTACTACTAATAAAACCTTGAGAGTATTTGCTTAGGAAGTTTTCAATATTCAGTATTTTTGGAAGTGTCAATGAAGTACTGATGGGGTGGTCATAATAATCTGGCCACTCAGTATAGATATCTATTATATAGGTGTGTATGTAAAGTCACACATTCTGTAGCTACCTGCTTGTATTTCTAGGATTGCCTTTAAGTACCAGCAATTTTTAAATTTAATTAAATCCCACATACAATCTTGCCTCAGAGTTCAAACTCTTCACATTCAAGTGCATAAAAACAGAACAAAACAACAGTCAGAGCAATGATGGGTGCGGTTAATGGAGAGTTCTGGTTGGGTTAGGCTCAATTGCACAGCCCTAGTCCCTGCTTCACGTGACACAGCAGGAATTTCGGGGGGCAGGCGCCCTTACATTGGCTGGATCCTCTGTTGGTTTGTGGCTCTCCTCAGACACTTCAGGGGCTGTTGGCACAGACACAGGAAGCAAAGGAGACCTTGCCTTCCCAGCCAGCCCAAGAGAGGCCGTCTTCACATGAGTCTTAGGAAGAGCAGGCCCTGGAAGAGAAAACACAGTGACGAAAGTAATGGGTGAAGCAGCCTGGCCATCAATCTCTCAAGCATGTAAGCCCAATCCGGAGGGTGGGCATTGATCTTAGGCCATTGTGCATTCTGTAGTTTAGAGATGAATTCTGACACAGTGAGTGGGCTCATTTCATTGCTACTAAATGCAAGACAGATTCTGATTAGGCGCCTCCAGATGAAGCTCCAACGTCTCATGTAATTTCAAGTGGATTTCAAATCACACTACGAAAGGTTGCCTGGGAGCTTGGGCTGTGCAGCATACCCTAGAACGTGTCAGGCAAACTCATGTGGTGCCAGTCTCAGCTTTGGGCCAGAAAGCCCGGTGCTAAACCACTTACATAAGCCCCAAGGTGTCTAATAGTACCAGAGAATATTTGTGCAGTTTAGAGAAATCCTTATTCTGGCCTATAAATGAGTATTACATATTATAGTGAAAAAAAAAA